CATTCCTGCAGGACAGGGAGTGGGGCTAAGTTAGCCTACAGATGCTCTCTCTCCCTGTTTTGAGAAACCTCACCAAATAGTCTCTCATCTATACTGAGCAATAAAGGAGGAAAGCTGTTCCTCAAAAAAAATACAGCACCTAGTTCATCTTGCAGCTATCATCCATTCTTGCTGTCCAACAGATCGTTGAAGGGCAGCACTCTGACAGAATCTCGTAGTGCCAAAGCAACAGCCTGTGGCAAGTTGTACTTAGAGGATGCCAAAAGATCCATTGTAATCAGAGGATTATGTCTGGCAGTAGTCTGAAATAATTCTGAATGCAGTCTTCAGTTCCAGAGAGACCTGAATACAGTCGGACTGCCACCAAGTGAGTCACTGGATGCAGGGCTCACACAATTTCCCTTGTCCAGAGGCAGGAAGGTTAGATACCTGCTGGTGTCAGTAAATGGTTTCTGGGCTCCATCCATTTATCGCAGTTCACGATAATTCTCTCTCTCAACTATGTCAGTAATCCAAATCCATCAACAATGACCATACAATCAACTAAGCCATGAAAGCCAAGTGAAAACAAGCCAAGTAAAGCTAGAGAGAGATTTTTCTGTTAAACTAATGGTATTTTCATAGCCCATTTCAAGTTCTCAGTGGACCGATAACGTGGAACAACTTCATGTAGATGAACTAGAAAGAGCAGAAGTCCCATCTAGAATGTGCAGGACAATTAGGCCTGATCAGTAGAACTACTAGTGCATAGAAGGGAAGAAGAAAAATTGACATCTAGGCCTTCATGAGCCTGTTGAGGTAAAGAAGCAGGCTCTTATTAGCTAGGAAACAAAATTCTGAAAGTCCAAGAAGCAAGATTTTAATGTGCTAATGATGTTAGTGAGCCCTGAAAGGTAGTGTCTCATGTCAGACTGTGCAAGGAAACCATTAAAAGTAAGTATTAACATTGATGACTACTTAAAAGCAAAAGAAAGAGACTTTTAACTGCTCCAAACAAATAATATGTGCTGTGCAACTAAGATAAGAGGATGGGTGAACAAACATCGGCTATACTGTAGGTTGAGCATATCTCCATGGAAACTCAGTCATCTTCTGAACTCAAAATGTCTTCTGCATGATGATTCAAAATTTAAAGCAGTGGGGTAGATTTTTCCCCATGTGTATGTGCCAAGTCCTACTACAGAACGGAGGTCTGACCAGTCATAAAATTAGGATTTTCCTGGGACAATTTTGGGGAAAACAAAAAAAAAAGTGTGTGGGGGGGCAAGAACAGGTAGGAAGATATCTAGGGTAATATCTAGCTAGTCATTTAGCCCCTTTACCTCCAGTCTTGGGCAACTTGGGCAAAATTTTGGTGATGTTTTTAGCTCCTGTTTGAAGTAATGGTTTTCCTGAACTCCAGGTAGGTGAAACATAAATACAAGTGCAAGTGGAAGCTGTTCACTATTTTTTAGCATGCTGGAAGAGAAATAAACCTAATAGAAAGAATCAGAGACCAGAAAGAGTTGAGTGTCATGTTCTTAAAAAATAACAGTTTAAAAACCAGTGCAACCCAAGCCAGCCTGCTGAGGTTAGAAAATTGGTTCTGAATCCTTTAGACCTGTGTTCAAATGCTTAATTAGACTTAAAGAACAAATGAAGTTGGCGTTCATTTATCCAAGTACTGTCTGGAACACATTCCAATCTGTGCTTTCCTCCAGCTGCACAACTGTTAGCCCCCACTTGCGGGAAGCAGAGGTGGAAAGGTGTAGGTGTTATAAATCACCAGAAATGAGGTGTGGTTTGGGTTGCACAAGAGGAGCTTCACATGCAGAGAATACTCAGGCACATCACGACCTTAGTTTGGCACCCTCTCAAAGGCTAAATCAATTCCTTAATTTTAAGAACCCTTTCTTTATCAGATCTTTTGTGCTGTGACTCCTGCATGGAAGTAAATGCAGCTTCTTGTATACTGGCTTGTCTGAAATCCATCTGAGTAAATGGCTTTGATAGGATTTATTGCTTGAGCTGTACAGGGTGACATCCATCCCATCTGCTGAGCTTTATGTTCAGCTGCCCTAAACTCACAAAGAGAAACACATACCACCCATGCTGCACACACATAGGTACCTGCAGCTATGACACTGAATTTCACAGGGAGAGTAGGCACAATCCCATCAGATAAATTTGAGCTGGCCCATCAGAGAAGTAAAATGTGCCCTTTTGTTACACCTCTTGAATTTCAGGAGCCTGAGTTCTTCTCTGATTTAGGGATTCAGCTTTATGTTTTTAAAACCAGTGAGAAAACATCCCTACTTCATAAAAGAAAATGTATTTTTTTGTTCTCAAAACTATCAGATTGAAGGCTAGGTTTTATAAGCAGGAAAAAGGCTACTATATGTAAATCATTTCAGCTGACTACCTCTACTACTGGCTATGAAAGGAAGGAGGCAGGTCAAGTCCTACCGAAACATCAAGCTCAGCTTCTCTGCAAAGCATGCAAGAAGTGCAGGTGCTAGCAAAGAGGTCTGCATGCAAGGTAGTAACTTAGGACCTGCAGACTGATTTGAAACAAAATGTTACCTGACAGTGCCCAGTTTCAGCTGATACTGTGCTCAAAGAGTGAGACATTCCATATTTTCTTACCAAGGCAAGCATAGAAGTTTCCCAGTGCTCAAAAATTAGGAGAGTGGCATCACATGCAGGATCTAATTAAAGAAATTAAATCCTTTGAAAAATGGTTAGAAAATATTTGATGCTGAGAGGCTCCTTGTACAGTAGCATGCTTGGAGCCAAGACTGAGCAGCTGTGTGGGGGAAGGGACCAGAGCATTAAATAAAGATACTTGTTGACTGCCTGTAACACTGGCTTCTAAAGGAAGTGCCACAGAGCACAGTCCATTACTAAGTGACAGAGAGTAATTTTCAGCCACTCTGGACAGTATCATAATTAAACTGTGTGTGTTCTTGTTCAGTATGGTTTGTTGTGGGTTAATCATCTTAATATTTACAAAAAGAATAGCTCTCTCCTGTGCCACCTTAACCCTGGTCTGTTTTTCCTCTTTCCTTCCAGATGCTGGAGAGCTCTTCAGTCCTTTTGTTCATTGTTTTCGTCCTGTTTTTCATTTTGCTGCTCTTTGTGGTGCTCATCAGGAAAAATGCCACTGCTGCCCTTATCTGGAATGAAATAATCCGGGAGAAAATAACCAATTTCATCATGAATCAGAGCAAAGAACAGAGGATTTTAAATTTTGTGCTCCAGAATGCAGTTCGAGGAGACCCCTGTAGTGTGCTGGACACTATAGATAAGTACTGCTCCCAAAAAGAGTGGGCCATGAATGTGGGCAATGAGAAAGGTAATTGCAGCAGGGATCAGCACTTGAAAGATCCTTCAAGACTAGCACAGTATAGAACATCTTATTGTATTCACATGGTAACTTCCATCTGCTGCTGTAAAAAAAACCCAAACACAACAGCCTTGTTGTCAGCAGAGTAGTTCTGTAAGCTGTAATGCATGCTTGTACAGATGTCTTTGAGGAGTATTCTTCAGTGAGTAATCCAGGAAGTGATAGGAACAGATCTGAGTTTGTGTGTTGTGTACATTGCAAGTGTGTAAACCGAGGGTGAAAATTAGTGGGAAAAATCGAGGGTTGTGTTATACCTCAGCTCCTATACAAGGTGGCCTTAAAGCATAATTCATTATGTTGAGTGTTTTCAGATCCTTAACTGAAAGATAGCAAATTTTTTAAAAAGTATTTTAAACAGTATTGGTTTTGTACATGCAAGCAAGTAACTGTTGAAGGGAGAAATCCTATCCATGTAATACCCAACAGCAGCTATCAGACATTGTTGCTACTTAGCAAGTCAATCATCTTGTTCTTGCCTCCTAATGGAAAATATGTATGTGGACAAAACAGTTTTTTTCTTAGCTGTAAGAAACTGACAGTCTTTTCAAAAAACTGTAATGGCAAAATGTTAACATGTTCCCTTGTGAATTAAAACACAAAAGTACCTCTTGCTGGGCAATTGCAGGGGAATTAACATAGCTAATGAAATACAACTGTAAGCATAGTAATAAAAATGCTTCTCCATCATGGGTACATTTTGTGAAACTAGCTTCTGTGCATACCAGGCTGGGGTGCTTAGGGCAATACAACAGTAGGTGGTGGCCAAGTAGGAATTCTTATAGTCCTAAACTTCAATAATTTGAGATTATATTCATAAAAATTTCACTCTAGTTTTCCTCTGACAAGATGACTTTTCCACAGATTAGAGGCATCTCAGTTAATGCATCTTTAGTTCCTAAGATTTTGAGAGTGACATAATTTCAAGATGCAAGCGTCATCATCACACTACTCATAAACAAATGACACCCAGAAAAATATCATGTAATGAAATGTCTATGTACCGTAAAAAAGTCCATGACTCAGAGTAAAATCCCTTCCAATACTTTTTTTCAGATAAGTTACCTAGTTTCTAGACATACAAGTAAGAGGAGACAGTTTTCTCACAAATAAATCCCTTTCTTCAGAAGGGCTGAATATAGTACACTGTTACTTCTTTTTGGGAATATTTTTTTGTTGTTAACAATTGACTAATATTTTCCATGCCACAAATTCATCTAGTGAATCCAGATATTTTGCAACCTTAAAACCAGGCTCTTCTTTTTCCCTTTAAAAACAAGTATTTAGGATGAGAGATTTTGTCTCGAGACTACTGTGTGTAACATCTGCAACAAATAGGAGCTTGCAAAATTCAGGAGTTCTATATTTCACAAATATGGCCAGTTTCTGCAGTAAGTTCCTGGAGAAACACACTGCATTTTCCCCTTGTAACACTATAAATATTTTAGTTGATTCAGGCACTACTTTACTGAGAAATGTTTATATTGTGAAACTAAGTAAGATTTTTTTTTTTTAGTTGAAAGTTTGCATTTTGAAACTTAAAATGCCCATGATCAACTTAATCACAAATAAGCCAGTTTGCAAAGGAAGCAGTATAAAATTTAGGATCAACCCTTCATTTTTTTATGTCCTGAGCAACTGAGTACACGGAGTTTGTAAGTTTCTTGTCATGAACTTGCTCCTCTGTATATGAACCCGTGTGATCTTGTCAAAATTTAACCTTCTTCCATTTTATTCAGGTTTAATTCTAGACAAGACAGTTGAAGAGGTCCAGCCATCAGTTGCACTGGAGCTGGGAACATACTGTGGCTACTCTACAGTTAGGATTGCTCGGCTACTGAAGGCAGGAGCTCATCTTCTCACTGTGGAGTTCAACCCAAAATTTGCTGCTATAGCTAAACAGATAATTGAGTTTGCTGGAGTACAAGATAAGGTAAATACCATTTGTGTCTGGTTGGTATGAAGTAGCAATACATGGAGAGTGGAGCTTTATCTGTAGAAACAACAATAATAGGTTTACATGTGTTACTTGTCCATCAGCTATCACACCCAAAGTGTTTGGGAAGATGCAGAGTTTAATCATCAGGCTTGATAGCCAGGAAAAGTTACCAGTGTCCACACAGAGGACCACGGTTGTCTGCTCCTTTGTATATACAGTGCAAGTGAGCTAAACTTATTAGCATTAGTCAGGGGTCTAAGTATGATGCAGATCCAGCTGAGAGTCACGGTAGAGTTTGAGGATTGTCAAGATGTGTGTGTGTGTGTGTGTGTGTCCGTCCAAAACAATCAGGGCTGTTCTTCAAAGTTCTTTGCTATGTGAGTCAGGGTGAAGATTCAGAGTGGAAAGATCATCATTATATACATCCATATCTCCTTAACATTTTGAAAACAGGCCTGGAAGGAGGCTCCAGCATCAGTTATTTCAGTTATTATAGTCACAGAACATCAGCACACACAGTCCTTTTCATCAGATTAGTAACCACTGTTGCAAAACTGGTTAGATTTACTGCCATTATTGAACTGCAAGGCTGCCCCATAGATTCTTCCTCCTGATAATCAGAAGCCTTTCTATGATTTCTGTCCGACATTTATTCATAGACATTTCATATGCTTTTTTTCTTGCACTCACAGTCCTTATTAATTTAACTAGCTCCATGCCTAGTTAGAGCCCCTGACTTCTCAAAGCAGTATAGGTGAGGACTTCACTGTTACCTCCTAAAAGCTAGAGTCAGATATTTTTTTTATATATACTAAAAGGTTCAAATCAGTGTCAAGACTGAGTACAACACAAAACTGAACCACAGTCTAATTTGTTACAAAAGCTCACAAGAAGCAGTTGTGTTACGCACAGTGGACTTAAGATGAGATATACTTACCAAATCTAGCTGGTCACTATATATATATATATACACACCCCTAAATTATGTGCAATCTGAGGTGTCTTGATTCTCTGTACAGTTGGTGGAGATGCAGGTATTTCTAGTCTATAATTCATCTCAGCCCAAGGCAAACATCTACAGCAGGTCAGGGGATTAATGCCAGAGAAGTACTTGTCTATTCAACTAGACAACTCACTTTAATGTAGATGACAAAACTAGAGGAAATAAATCCCACCATGAAATCTTCTAATATGTTTCTTCTTGAAGAAAACCTGAAGTACTAGTGACATCTAAAATTGCATTTTCCCCATCTGATTTAAGCTCCCGATCAGCTATGAGTCATAAACCAGACAAATTTCCTTACCACTTTTTACCTCCACTCAGTATGTGGCACTTGCTTAACAAATCAGTTTGCAGCAGCTTCTTTCAGCTTAACAGTACTTACGCCAATAAACCTGTGAAGAAGATGTAATAGCCTCTGTTATGCCTCCTCCTTCTATTGGCCACATCAGTTTTACATACTGTAGCTTCCAGCTTTATTCTAGACTAACCGGTTCCCTGTATTTGTTTCCCTTGGACTACAAGATCAACTGAGATGCAACTGAAGAAGTAATTAAAAGTACTGTTTTCAACAGGAGATTCCCATGTTTCCAGTAAGAAATCACATTATCCAACAGAAACAACAGGTCACTTTTTCCTGCTATTATTAAAAAAAACACTCCAAACCACCCAGACCCACATTTTGGAACATAACTGTGTTGATTTGTCAAAAAGAAAAAAAAGTACACATGATCTAACTCTATGAAATAATTCAACTGACATAATATTGATCTATAAACAGGATCACCGATGCCTGTTTAAAATAAGCTAGAGGCATGTGCTTTTTCCTGATGGTTCATGATTCATCAAGTGGATCTGCATTTCAGGTAAAACTCCTAGAAGGCCCTTCAGAGGAAATTATCCCCCAGCTGAAGAAAAAATACGAAGTGGATACTCTGGATTTTGTCTTCCTGGACCACTGGAAAGATAGATATGCACCAGATACCATCCTGCTTCAGGTCAGTTTGCCCAATTCTAGTCTTGAAGTAACAAATGCCTTGATGTCTGTGAGGTCTGTATTCTTCATGAAGGACGTAATCCCCTGTAAAATGAAGAATGGCAGCCAAAATAGCAACCTTACAAGAAAAGAGGATTTGGGGGACAGGATCCCAAACTTTTATCAGGGACAACTGCTGACACTACAGAGCTCAGGAACTGGCAAATACTGTTGAACCATTTTGTTTCCTGAACAAATGGGTCTGCAGTAGAAACCCCAGTAGAAATGGTCTGGGTCTTACGCTCCCTAGGAGTTATCTGCATGGTCAGTAACTAGAACACTTGACCCACAAACAGCCTGATCCTGGGAGCAGCTGAGACTTAGGACCTGCATATCCTAGCTTCACCTCTAATTTCTTCAGTACCCCTTTTTTTTGCCTGGGTCTGTGGTGCCGGCAGAGCCTTTTGATGAAATACTATTTTGGTAGCACAGCTGGATATCATCTTTTTGTGAGTCTTTACTCCACCTAATTAATTGGCTGCAAGGAAACCTTCAGAGGAGTGCAGACCTCCGCAGTCAGGCAGTTGCTAGGGAAGTGCTGTCCAACTCCATCTCCAGCCCAAATGTGGAAAAATTATACTCATTTCTCCCCAGCCTGCCTCAACCATTACTGTCAGCATTATGAAACAAGTTCCCTGTAAGAGCAGTAGGCAATGATAGATGAGGTAACTACTAGAGGACTTTGGTATGGGAAGGTATTTTCATTTGTTAAATAACTGAGATTCACAACATCTGTGTCTATCAACACAGCACATACAGATACTCTCCTAGTTTGGGAGCTGCAGGCTGATAAAGTTTTCAACAACTGCCTATTTCTATGGAAGCATCATCTTTTAATTATTTTCTTCCCAAATAAATCCACTTTTTTGACACTACCACTTACACTGAGAACCTGTCAACTACTTCCTGATCCCTCTTTGAGGACTACAACATTATTTTCTCATCCGGGATCCCATTTTTTAATTTCAGCCCCGTCCTCTAGATAGCTGTTTGAAAAGGAAATTTGTTTGGGGTTATGAACAGCCAGTATTGAATTAACACAGCAGTAGCTGAAAAAAATGTTCACTCCCTACAGTTTTTTTGTACCCAGGCAATGTTTTCTTTTAAAGTGGCTGTGTAAGGATGACTGAGCTCTTTCCACTGGGAAGAACTACCACATCCTTAATAGAGCTTAACCTTCACAACACAGCCAAAACAAACGGGTCGTTGGATCCTATTGTAGCGGTCAGTCTGATGCAACTGTGAGATAAAGTTGCTTTGCTTAAAAAAAAACCACCTTATGAAATTAAAAGGAGAAAGAAAAGATCCCCACATTTTCTCAGATGTTTCAAGCCTTCTAGTATGCAAGTTTGGCAGGTATTGCATTATGAATAGTGAATGTGAAATATGAATATAATGTATTCAGATGAAATATATATTGAAAGTGGCTCAGACAGCATTCCTTTCCATGCACTTCTAGAAAAGCCTGACACAAAGAGCATCTGAAATCCTGATGACCAGTCAAAAAGACAGCATGTTGTCACTTGTAGGCTACTATGAGCTGCACAAGAGAGCAAAGGGATATTTACCATGTCTCTAAAATTGCTTCTACCATGCTAACTGCTGTTCAGTCACCAGAGGCAAGAGCAGTAGCCCAAACAGGTTCCACTGCACACTTATCAACAGGACTTCTCTAATATACTGGGAGTGACAAAAAACACCCCATGTTTTGGCTACAACTGCTGTCTGTAACCACAGGATGACAACCAGC